TATCACGAGCGTCACAAAAACAGATATACACAATTTCTCCAACACACGTTGTCTGACCGAAGCTATTTTTCACGCTGCTCGCGTAAACGTATTATGATTCCGTTTCATTCAAAACAAACAGGCGTACAGTGTTCGTGTCACTGCTCGCACGAAAATGTGTCTCGTGTTTCCAACCGCTGTATTTATTAATGCTTGAGCTTCGTACTAATACAGAGCGTGACAGCCGGTTGTTCACCGCTATACTCCGTGATCGCATATGTTTCAATGTGACCATTGCATGTGTGTGTTACTTGCATGCTGGTCTACCGCATCAATCGCGATCATGAGAAATGCTTTTCTAGTGACGACATTTCTGTCCAGAACAATCTTGTCAGTGATTTTTTTTAGTAATGCCATTAACGCTATTACGTCGTCCGAACATTTTTTAAGAAATAATAAAAAAATGTTAAAAAATCGAGAGTACTGTTACAGTCTTATTCGTTCTTTATGGTTGTATTGCTACATTGCATATTTATTTTAGCGTTCCATTTCTTGAAATAACGCGGTGACCAAAATATACATGTCTCAGGTATAACGGGAAGCATTTATTGTTCTCGCAATATGTCAAGCCGCGCAGCATGGTTTTAGTTAACAAGGTTAAAAACCATAGGTAAACTAATGTTTAGTACCATTAGTTACCAAAACAGTTTTATATGTATACACCTCATAAAAATCGCGACGTGTACATAACCGTTGTATTATTAACAATTATTTTAGACAAAAGTTTTTTTCCTGACGGCTATTTTCTTACGAGTCGGCTGCCATTGATACGTCATCCCCTATCAATCTCATGCCAACAGTTTTTTGGGGGGAACGAGTTAATGGAGGCAGGATTTTTACCATGCGTTTTCGATCAATATCAGCATCGCAACACATTTTGAGGGAATGGTATAATGTAATGGATATTTACACCATGCGTTTTACATTTCAGTAGAACATTTCTCCGTGAACAAGATGATTGGCTGTTAGCGGCTCTATGTCTCTGACTTTACCGCCAGATGTCGCGTGTCACGTTATGGGTTAACAAGGAGCTAAAAGGCGCTGACCGAGGGCCTTTAGGAAAGCTCGCTCAGGCGAAGTTATGTTATATCACCCTTGCGACCTCACGCTCACCGCACAAACATGATGAGATTTCCCGGCGCAGAGAATCCGTTTTCACTGTGCCTGCTCTGTTTCTCATCAAATTTGCCACGTGCGAACCATATACGAATACCAACAGCGACGGTGGTGGGCATCATCATCAGCAGCAGCAACATCATTATCATCATCATCAGCAGCAGCAGCAGAAGCAGCAACAACATCATTATCATCATCATTAGCAGCAGCAGCAGCAGCATCGTCATCATCATCGTCATCATCATCATCATCATTATCATCATCATCAGCAGCAGCAGCAGCAGTAGTAGTAACATAAGCATTAGCAGCAGCACCAACAGAAACTACAGAAAACTAGCACTAGAGAGAAAGTAACAGCACCTGCCACGTCCTCTCTTCTTATGCCTCACTGGTTAGGACACCAGCAAGCACATAATTCTTTTCGCTTTCACGCCTACTCCATAACAACGTTACTTTATCACCACGCGTGAGATTTTTTTCACTGCTCGCATCAATCATGATCTGTATCGCATTGCTCGGCCAACAGGCCACGACAGCCCAATTCCTCCAACTTAGAAAACGGTGTTTTAAATCCAGGATAATCTTCAACCAGCAGGCGCAAACCCGAGGCTTGAAAACAAAAAATGCTAACGTGGGATAAAAAAAATCATAGCAGCGATCATCGAATCGAAGTTCCTGCGGGGCTGATATATCTGTAGCCATAATATGTGGTCTGCCACGTGTGCGGGCAATCGTGACTCATCGCTGAGTCGAATTTACTCAAGCCATCAAACAAGGGACCAACTATGCGGATATTTAACCGAATAAACATAGGGAACGGAGTCAACCGTGATATACAGCATGTGCAGGGTATAGTAGCGTACTCGCCGCGATGCGTATCACGTGTGCATTTCGTCCTTTATACTGTCGCTTACACTGACGCTATGTAATATGATCAGTGTCATATTATAGATATTATCAGAAGTATTATGTAGATACATAAAATATAAGATATCTAGATATATACATATTATAGATCTATATTATGACACTCTGATATATTATGATGGGGTACTCTAGCTGCGTCTAGTGTGGAAATGACTCCTCGGTTTTGTTTTCCAAAATTTGGCGCGTGCGATCTGTTTTAATTTTTTTTTTTATAATTTTTTTCCCGATGCTGTGATGAGGGGTATTGTGGTCGAAAGCCGCGGATCGCGATCAGGGGGAATGTCTCTGGCACACTTTTTTTATTCATACATTATTCACATATGAGCTCAATGTGATTTTCACGTGCGCGACAGACGGATGCATGCTCGTATATGGGTACGAATCTTTGCGTGGGCGCACGCTGAACGTGATGTGTGTCGCCGTGTCTAGCAGTCTGGGAACGTATCCGTATATCAGCCGATGTAAGGAATCCGCGTCCGATCAAAGTTCGGCCGGATGTGACAAGCACTTAGGGTACGCGCGAACATATATCGATGTTAATCTATATAATTTATAGATTATGTACTCTTGTCCCTGTCTTCTGCTCCTATTATGTACTCTTGATGTTAATTTATGTGAAGGGCGAACGATAATTCAGCAGCGTGCAAATAATAGTCGGCCAGATAATCTTCGGGAACCCCATGTGGCACACGTGTGCAAAGTCTCACAATTCTGCCCAACTGGCACTAATAATTCAATATATATATATATATAATATATATATATCACGTATATCATATGTATATATGTGTATCATATATATATATATATATTATATATATATATATATATCATATATATATTTATATATATATATATATATATATATGATATATATGTGTGTGTGGTGCTGTGCGCAGCATAGCGTGCGGCTGCGTGCGTGCGTGCGTACGTGCGTGCGTGCGTGCGTGTGTGTGGAGAGAGAGAGAGTGAGAGATGGAGAAGGCGCGAGAGATAAAGAGAGAGGGAAGAAGGAAGAGCGGTGTAAATTTTTGCGTTTCGCGGGCAATAAACTTCGTGCTAAATATGTTCTGCGAGGGTATCATTTTATATTTACTCTGTACACATAAAAAACGAACCCCAGCCACTGTGAATCTGTTTTCATTACGCGTACACGTTTACATTGAGCTTACACGCACACGCTCGCGCACAGTATATATATCGGCTCACTGTGTCGCCGCCTCGTTTACCCGACAATATTTGCATTATTTTATATTTTTTGCCTAATGAAAACATGCCTAATCTTAATTTATTGACCTATGAACCGATGTTTTTTTTCGAACAGTCAGCCAATCCAACATTGCTTGCGACATCGCCATTGCTCCACATGCACTGTGCATGCAGCTTATTGTTCCCTAGATACAATAATGTAACCCGCACTCAGGGGTAGGTTTGGGTTACATTATTGTATCTACTTGTTCCCGTGCATCCTATGCGCGCCCGTTACTGCAGCGTCCTAGATGCACACTCCACCCGTTACAGCATCACAATAGTCTAGTTTGAGTTCGGGAAGCCATCGTCAAGTCATCATTAGTCTAAAAGTACTATAAGTGACTCGACCGAAACGAGCGGCGTCCCAGCTCTTGCAAACGAAAAAAACAAACGCTTTTTTTCAGTTCATTTCCGCGTGGCGCGCTGACGAAGCGCGCTGGATTCTGCGCAAAACAACCGCGAAAAAAGCTAAATATACAAGCGTGCGTGCCGCGCCGGCGCGGCAGCTGTAGCACTCCCGGTAACTCGTCGTCCTCGTGGTAAAAACATGGGGTGCGACGATGAACGGCAGCCTGCACATGGCCCGCGCGATGCCCAAACACGGCGGCGAGAATCCGTCGCAATATATGCACGCGAATAGAAAAACTGGTGCGAAGAGGAGCGTGCGTTTATAACGACCCACCGTATACTATACACGAGGCGGGCGCTGCCTCACTACGCTTAAAGGCTCACAATGCGCATCCAAACGCTAATTTCTCCAGTACTAGACTAGCAAATACTTCGTGGCATGCATAATCACACTACCTTATGACAAAATAAACTCTAGTTCCTCCCATCTCACTGCGCGTTGTCTTATAAAAGGTATTTGAAAATACCTCCAATATGTTGTTAAAATTCTCCGATGTTGTTGACAGTTTCCCCAATCCCCATTCAACCGTGCAGCGGTGCTGCGGTACAGCGGTACGGGTGTAGCAAAGATAAAAACATGTGACGCTACGTCACCACTTCGAGGCTATATTGTTTGGCAAACAGTCGGCGTTTGCGCCAGAATGCCAGTTTTCTCACCTCTTTCTTGTGGGTTTTAAGCAAACGCGCAGTGAAATGGGAGCAACTGGAGTTTATTTTGTCATAAGATAGTGTGATTATGCATGACACGAAGTATTTGCTAGTCTAGTACTGGAGAAATTAGCGTTTGGGTGCGCATTGTGCGGCTTTAATTCTTGACTTCTTTTCCTACTTGGCGCATGAAATAAGAAAGCATTCTGGCAGTCGCGCGGCATGCGGGGGTGGGCACTCCTGGATTATACGATGCATTGGCCGTGGAATAACAGAATTTGGTATCACAGGGAGAGGCACCGCACACGCTTGCCAGGTGTAAGTCGCTTGCGGTGCCTACAAGTGACGAGTTCCTTCTTCCAAATTGTGTTCACAGTTTTGTTTATATAAAATCTACTGTATCGCGCTCCATGCTCGCGTCTGTCGTCACTTGCATTCGTATGTGTTTTTTATGCACGAAAAAAATTGTATATATTACAGCTTTAGCACTGCGCTCACATCGGCACCAACCGCATATACATGTCTACGCCGTTGTGTTAACGCATGAGATTTCCCGCTTGTCTACGGAGTGCAGCGGCCTCGCTATCTGACAGATAGACGACATACACGTGTTGTTGAGAAGTTTATACATTCTTACGGCCCGCATAGGCCACAAATATCGAACAATGACAGGGAACTCCGCTACAGTTCCATCTAGCATTCACGCTAACGACATCATTGATACAAAGAGTAGCACCTTTAAACATTGCACTAATTCATTCACTGCGGTCCCTTCAGAAAAGGTCAGCGTTGATGGTGATGTACACACGCACGCACGCACACACTCACTGACACTCACACGCATATATATATATATATATATATATATATATATATATATATATGGCAGCAGGTAGAAACCGACCATGCGATTCTGTGCCGTACGTGGTACGTGAGTGAGTGCGATGTTATAGTACACGCAATTTAGCCATTTTTCTGCTTCAAACGGGATACGACTACATGCTGAAATTTATCGAAAGCAAAACGGCAAAAGTTTTGAGTGAATATTGGATTTTGAATCTGTGGTTATTTAGCATGAATAACGTGTATGTCATGTATGCGCCGAAACTCTCCAAGTATTTTTAATTAATCCCTGTTCGATGATTATTCAGGCAGAAGCCCTCTGCTGTTATACAACATCTTCATGACCCTGACCAATATTGAAACAGAAGCAGCAATGGCGATCCGTCACGGGGGCGTGTTACCCCCGAGGGTCGCTGGAGAAACTCTGTAGCGATCAAATACAAATACAGTAAAGTGATACGTCGTATCTTTAAATCATCTGATCTCCCCGTCTGCGCCCATAATACAGTCTCCTGGTCACTCATCGGCAATGTTCAGCCATGTATATGTTTGCCCAAGGACAGCAAAATCTATTGCATTGGCAAAGGAGTAACGTCGCCGAACTTAGGTCATAACAAGGTCCTAAGTGGTTCGAAGAGTGTTTATACCCCGCAAAATATTTCTGCACTTATCTTCGTCGATCTAGTATATACAATCCGTGTGCGATGACTGGGAAAGACAAACACGCTGTCCCGGACAGAATTACAGGCGTCATTCATTTTTAACAGCCTTGAGCCACAGTTCCAGTCAATACAGTAAAACGACGGAGATAATTAAATACGCCTCGTGCGTCCTACAGGAGGCCCTCCTCCCTTACTAATCCCCTGATCGTCAGCTGCCAATGTTCGCCGGCATATCCTCAAGGAGAGTAAAAGCGAAAGTAAGAGCAAGTAAAGAGAAGAGAGAGAGAAAATCTCAGCGCTCCTCGGCAGTCACGTCTCCTTCTAGGAGAAGACCCGCGCGCATGCGCACAGCGATATTGCTAGACTCAGCCCGCCGACGTGCCTACGCGCGCTCGACGCGTCGTCCGCTTCACCGGCGAGCGCTTCCGTTTCCGGCAGCCACGCGAGCTCGCAGCCCATCCAGTCGCGCGCGGCGCTCTGCGGGTAATCCTCGGCGACGGCCATCTCCGTGTCGTCGAAAAGCCAGTACTCGTGCCGCTTGAAGAAGTACGTCTTCTCGTCCGTCCACTGAAAGGCGGCGTCGATGTTGTACGGCACGCCGCTCCACAGCCGCATGTCGCGCGGATAGTCGTACTCGACGCGGTGGTCATCCTCGTTGAATCGCCAGTACATCGTGCCGCTGAACAGGTATGTCTTCTTGTTGTAGCCCCACACCATCGCCGCGTCGACGCGCGGCAGGTCGGCAGGTAGTCCAAGGTCGCTGAGCGGCTGCGGGTAGCCCGACACGACGTCGACGCCGTCGAAGATCCAGTATCGCGGACCCTCGAAGATGACGATCGACTCGTCGGGCCGCTGGTAGACGGCGTCGACGCGCGTGAAGTCGCGCGGCGTCAGCGCGTGCCACATGTAGCGCACGTCGGCCGGGTAACTCTCGAAGACGTGTCGCGGCTCGCGCAGGCGCGAGAAGTGGCGCCCCCTAAAGATGAACAGCTCGCCGCGGATGACCGAGATCGCGTCGTAGTCGGTCGGACACGCGTCGATCATCGTCGGGCCGGCCGTCGTCGTCGTCGGAATTACCGCCGCCGTCGGCTCGCGCGGTGACGTCACTCGCGTCGTCGGCAGCGTCGGCGCAGGTCGCCGCGTCGGCTGCGGACGTCGCGGATGGTAGGGCTCACGTGGTTTCGTCGGTTTTCGCGGATCGTACGGGTGCTGGGGAGGAGGGGAGGGGGTTTGAGGTCGGGAGGGTGTCGCCGCTGGATAATAGGGCGTTTGTGGTCGGGAAGCGGTCGGCGGGGGAGGTTGCGAGCGGCTGTCCTTGTAGCCGTACAACTGCGTGATTCCCAGCATGTCGTCGTACGGCAGCTGCATCAGATGCTCGGCGCCTTGGTAGTAGGGAAACATGAGTGCGTTGACGTCATTCGAGTGCTCCATTCCTGCAAAAATGAGGTTTGAGAAAAAGGTTTTGCGATGGCGCGCGATCTTGCTCGCGGGTTTCCTTACGGTGATGTCTTCCATTCCTCGCCCCTATGGTAGCAGTATGTGCTATACGGTAGAGCTAATACCGCACGTATGCATGCACATGGTAAAGCCTTCTCTGTTCATATGCGCAAGTATGCGTCTCACATGTTAGCCATTACTTTCTCACGTGTGACTGGGCTTCAATCTGAGTAGTTTTCGTGCGAATGTCTGTAAACCGTATAGACGCATGATCGTCGTTGTCGTGCACAATTTTCACGATTATGCTTGGATTTTTCATAGTTGCTACAATTAATTAATGAAACCACCACACCGTTTGTGGCAAAATATTATACATACATACTATCAAGAGCCCATTAACCCCAATTAGATTAATGGGCTAATGGGGTTAATAGGCTCTTGATACTATATATTATGTTGAATTTAACATTATTTTGAAAATCATTACAAAAAAAACTGATATATGAAAACATAATTACTTAACTATTTGTGTACAGAAAAATTCTGATTGGCCGCTGCAGTCGCGCTAACCTACCCAGGCTGTGTCCGAACTCGTGCGCCGCCACGGCAAACAGGTTGACGCCCGTGCCGCCGTCCTTCGACCATTGCTCATCCTCGTCGAAGTGCGCGTCCCCGCCGCGATCGGGTCCCGGAAAGAAGGCGTGCGCGAGCACGCCAGACGCCCCGTCGAACGAGTAGCCGTCGCCATGGTAACCGCGCGCGAAGGACACACGAATGTCGGCGTCACCGCTCGGATGCGCGGGATAGAAGCGCAGCGAGGAGACGTCCTGCCACAGCTTCAGCGCCCGATAGACGATGTTCTCCACTTCGACGGGATGCACGTGCGCCGTGTAGGCGACCACCTTGTACGTCAGGTCCGTCTTGTGCCAGCGCGAGCCCTGGTGCACGTATCGCCGGCGACGTCCCCCGCCGCGTCGTCGCAGCCGCGAGAGGGCTGTCGTGTCCTTGTTTCCGCAGCGTGGACGCGCCATGAGCGCGCGCGTCGCGTTGTCGACGACGCCCGTCGGCGGCAGGCCGGCGTACTCCTGCATCGTCTTGACGGCGAGCGATATCTGCTCGTCGGTCAGCTGGCTGCCCGTCTCAACGGTCGCCTCGGGCAGGTAGCCGAACTGCATGAGGAAGCCCTGCGTCGCGTCGCTCACGGGCGCCGACGCGTCGTCGCTCTTGCGCGACGACCAGCCGCTGATGGCTGCTGCCGACGTCGCGCATAGGCAGGCGGCGCAGGTGAGCAGCGTCATGACGCAGAGATCGCACGCACTACGCGGCAGCGTCATCGTCGTTCGCGGTGGCCGGTGTTACAGCGGTAGCAGCACGCGTGCGAGGGCTGCCGTGCGAACACTCACTGCAGGACTGAGGACGGATGCAGATTCCCGGCTAATGTTCCTGCAATGGAGAGGATTTACATAGAATGGGTCACTGCAATCAATTAGACACGACCAGCATGAGAGTGCTCGAAAGTGTTGCCCGTGCATTTTCTCTCTTACACTCTCTGACTCACTATCGTTCTCTCTGTGTGTGTCTCTCTCTCCCCCCTCTCTCTCGCCCTCTCTCTCTCTCGCTCTCTCTCTCTCTCTCTCTCTCTCTACTCTACTATATATATATATATATATATATATATATATATATATATATATATATATATATATATATATA